AGAAAGGGACTAGAACAAAAGAAAGAAAGAGACTAGAACAGTCCAAACCCAAATCTAGCATAAGGGGGAAAAAGATCAGAGCAGAAATTTACACTAAAAATATTTTTAAAAATCAATGCATCAATGAACTGGTTCTTTGAAAGAATAAACAAAATGGACAAACCCATAGCCAAACTTATGAAAAGAAGAAAAGACCAATATCAACACAATTAAAATTAAAAAGGTGAAATTACAGTAGATATAACTGAAATTCAGATCATTAGTAACTACTATGAAAAGCTGTTTCCCCAAATTTCAACAATGTCAAAGAAATAGACAAATTTCTAGACACACATGAATTACCAAAACTGAAACAAGAAGACATGAAAAATCTAATAAAAAACAATGACACTGAAACAGTAAAAAATATAAACTAGGAAACTCAAGACCTGATGGATTCACCACTAAATTCTATAGGACCTACAGGAAAGATACACCAATACTCCTCCAATTCTTCAATGAAATTGAAAGGAAAGGAGTACTTCCAAACTCAATCATGAAAGATAGCATTATTCTGCTTCAAAAGCCAGATAAGAACTCAACTAACATTCTCTTTAACATAAAAATCCTCAACAAGATGGCAAATAGAATGCTACAAATCATCAAAAAGACTATACATAATAACCAAATAAGTTTCGTTCCAGAGATGCAAAGATGGTTCAACATACACAAATCAATAAATGTAGTACACTTCATAAACTAAGCAATAACAAAAATTACATAATCAAAGCAATAGACGCAGAAAAAGCTTCTGACAAAATTCAACATAGGTTTATGATTTTAAAAATTTGAAGAAAATAAATACAGAAGAACTTATCTCAATCTGCTAAAAGCCATTTATGATGAAGCAATAGCCAACATGGTATCAAAAGGGGAAAAGCCAAAAGCTTTCATTCTAAAATCAGGAATAAGACAAGGATATCACTGTCACGACTTTTATTCAATATAGTACACAAAACATTGCCAGAGCAATCAGGCAAGAGACAGAAATAAAAGGGATACATATAGGAAAGAAAGAAGTCAAATTATCATTATTTATGGATAACATGATCCTTTACATAGAAGACCCAGAAAGTTGCACCAAAAGACTTCTAGAATTAATAACTAAATTCAGCAATGAAACAATACAGAAAATCAACACCAAAAACCAAGACAGTTTCTGTAGAACAATAATAATCCCACCGAAAAAAATCACTTAGGAAAACAATACCATTCACAATAGCAACAAGAAAAATTAAACATTCAGGAATTAACCTAACCAAAGTGAAAGACCTCTACAACAAAAACTACAGTACTCTGAAAAGGAGATACAAATGGACATTAGAAAATTAACATTATGAGGGTCCATTATCTGCCAGAAAGCTATGGGGACCTGTAACAAGAAGGTTAAAGTTCTCAGCACCTACATTTTTTTTGATAAGGGATCTGGGAAAGATTAAGGGAAAAGGAGAGGGCTGTAACATGTGCAAAAATATTCATGCAAGTTGTGTCCGCATATCAATTTTCCAAAATGAATCTCATTATCCTGTATTACTAATATGGATCCATTAAAAAAAAAGTGTCCAGGTGCTTGCTCCAGCAGTACATATACTAAAAAATGTCCAGCACTTGCTGATCAAGAACTACTTAAAGAGGACTAAAATCAGCACAGGATAAAAGTAAATACAGAAACTACCCACTCCTCCCTTGAGCTAATGTTGTTTTTCCTGAAAAGTTAACATATATGGATATCCTCATTTAAGTCTAAAGAGCCTTTTCTGGGGCCTTGACAATTTGCAACTTTGATGTACAACTTCAGTTACAATATAGATGTTCCTAAAAGATTAACAAAGAACAGGATGCCCTGGAAAATGCATTTCTAAAATATCTACTTTTGCCAGTTCAAGCCTTTTCCCAGATTTTCATTCCCTCCAATCTTTCACCCTGACTGTATATATTCTCTTGGAAACCTACCCACTGATTTTTTGCCACTGTACCCAGTGATCTAAGTATATTCCTTTATTATATCCTTTGTTGGTAAATTCTTTTTACTGCCAGCATCACAAGGCCTCTATGCTGTCTGGCAGGGCATGCCCATTCTCCAGAAGGATTCTGGGAGGTCTTATTCTCCCCTGTGATATCATGAGAGTCAATTGTACAGCAGAACAATATGAGGGTCAAATTGTCCACCAGAACTGCATGAGGGTTCATCCTTCATCAGGCCACAAATGTTTCCATTCAGTACAGATTGACTGTAGACATCACAAGGAAGAGGGTAACAGTGCAATTTTTTCCCAGAGAGAGTGAAGTCATGGAGGGAGGTCTTGGATGTGAGTGTTCACAGAGGCTTTGATCACACTGGGGGCAGGTCATATTTGGTGCTCACAAGTGGGTCTGTGGTTGGAGATAGATGTGAGGGTGAGAGTATGGATTGGTTTAGTGTGCAAAAGTGGTCCCAGATAGACATTCAGGATATGGTCTTAGTTGAAAATGGTCAGAGTTATTCTGTGTGACTGTGCTCAAGGACCTGTCGGGATCAAACAGGACAGTTGTGAGAGTTGAGTTTCAGGTGTATCCACCTCTCATTAAAAGAGGACAAGATGACAAGAGGAGTTACCACATGGGCTTTATGAAGGAAGGCCACTTCATAATCTGAGAAGAACTGCAAGGACATGTATGAGCTTGAAACATGAAAAGCCTGTGTCACACAAAAATATAAACATCCAAGGTGAGGCAGAGAAACGGGCCCAGAACAGGAGAAACATGGTGCAGTTTGATAAAACCTTCCAGGTAGAACTATTGACGAATGGGTGAAATCAAAGTATATTTAATAACATCTTCTTTAAGAAAGAGGATAAGGAAGACCCCAGGCTCCTATGTTCTTCTCATGCTCTGAGAACATTCATGGTTTCCATGGTCAGCTCATGAGCATCATATGATGGGCTATGGTCAACAATAGGACTTTATCCCTGGCTAAGCTTCAGGTCTCAGGCAGAGAGTAGCCCCATCTGCATTTAAGGAGAGAGACAAGCATTGCAATCCTCAGAGATTTCTCAGAACCCCAGGAGTTCTGGCCTACTGGAATCCCAATGCAAAGCAAAGCTCCTGCAAAGCTGACACAGGTTCAATATAGTTGGTGATATGACACAAAGATTATCGCTAACCTGAAACCCCCCAACCCAACTACCTAAAAAGACACTTTAAACAGCTACAAAAGATATCCAAAGGAAGAGAAAGAAATTCCCTGACCCAACGTCAAATGTCAATGAGAAGACTCCAATCTAAGGAACTTCTTGAAGGGATATGAGAACAGACCAACATCCTAGGATTGACAGGGAAATGAAGATCACAGACACAGAGAAACATCTCCCAGTTATTTTAAATATAGGCATCAACTAGAGCAGAGCTCTCTGAGTAGAAGCAGTAGAGCAAGAAGAGCACAATGAACCCACAGGCACAGAGATGCACACCTAAGGGGCTGAGGAGAACTCTGGACTCTTCCTCTGCTTCCTCCCCATGGCTTTGCTGAGGCTCTTCTATGTCATCATAATCCTCCAGCACTGGGTCTCCAGACATTGAGGGCCTCTCCTCTGTCTCCTCCACATGATCAGGTTCGATGTCCTCATAGACACCCTCAGAGGGCAGGGGCTCAGAAAGTCCAGATCCTGTAAGGACACACAAGAACTTGAAAGGACAGTCTTGCAGCCTAATCTCCCTCTTCCCTGGTACCTGTAGCCCTGCACATTGAGAACCCCAGTGCCTCTGCATCTGTCTCCTTGAGAATAGTCACTCTCACTGGAACCAAGCACTTTCCTGGTCACACAGGGATCAGGATTCTAGTGACGCTAGAGGGTCTAAACCCACCCCTGAGGCCTTCAACCTGCAATGACAGCAAAAGGGTTGGGGGGAGGGGGAAGCCTGCTGGTGGTGCCACAGGAGTTGGCATGCCCTTATCTATTGATCTTAGAAACACAGTGAAATATGAGTTCAGAGTCCCCAGGTCCTCAACACTTGATGGATCCACCTCATAGTTCCTTCCTAGCCTCTAAACAGGGGCTAGAATGAAGAAAGCCAGTATGGAGGGGATGGACCAGAACAGGAAGGGCCTGCTATGGCTGGAGTTTCCCAAGATTAACCCAGCCTCCACTCCCAGACCCTTTTCTAATTATTCCCAGGCATATTTACCTACCCATGCAGGCAGCTCTGCTGTAGCAATATTGAACTCCCAGAACAAGGAAGACAAACCCCCGAGGCAGCCAAGAACCAGGCAGGCAGTCTTAGGCAGAGTCCAGGCCTCAGCAACAGGTGGAGGGGTCAGGGAAGGGGCTGTAGGGAATAGAGAAAGGCGGGGTCTCCTGTGTTCTGGTTGCCTAGGGCATTGTGACCCTGTGCTTCGATGACCTCAACCTCTGAGGTAGAGGGAGAGACTCAAGAGAGATGGGCCACAGTGCTACCTGGACAAGCTGATATTCTTCCAGATGGCCCAAGATTACAAGGGAGAATGGCCCAAGTGCAGGGCCCAGGTGGGAGGGGCTAGGTAAAAGACCCAGGTGAAAATTCCAGGTAGGTTTCTAACCACTAGATGGGTTGAGTTAGGAGGCACAGGACATATGATCCAGGTGTGGGAAAAAAGGAAAGCCCCTGCCCCCTTCCTTGGAAAAAAAAAGTCACAATGCCTAAGAGGCCAAACCCCACAGTCACCAAAGGAAATCCCCCTGACATGTGGCTACTCTCAGCCCAGGATTCCACATTCAGGCATGCAGAGGGAAGGAAAGCAATTGACATGCCTGGAACACTTAAAGAGAGTCAGTCTTGGACATGGGGTCCCAGCGTCCCCAGGACCAGGCAGAGCTAAGCCCCTCTGGTCACTCAGGAACAAGAGTAAAACTGGTGAGAAGGCGTCACCAACCTGATACTGAGTTCCCAAGACACCTACAGGAAAATGCACACCTAAGCACCAAAATGAGGAGGTGTGGACAATCCTGAGTAGCACAAAGCTGCCCAATACAGAGGTAGTCCGTGTCCTACTCAGCCAGAGCCCAACAGGATAGAGGAGTAAAAGCCTGTGTTTGGATCACTAAATGAGACTTTTCACACCAGAGACCTGGGCGGGGGGATGAGGCTCAGGAGAAAAGAGCAGATATTTAAAGATAGTGTCCACTCCTGAAAGAGAAATTAGGGAAACAATCCCTTTCACAATAGCATCCAAAACAAAATGAAATATCTAGGAATCAATCTAATGAAGGAAGCAAAAGACCTCTACATTAAGAAGTACAACACCCTGAAAAAAAGAGATCAAAGAGGATATAAGAAAATGAAAAGACATCCCTTGATTCTGAGTAGGAAGAATCAATATAGTGAAAATGGCCAGATTTCCAAAACTACTATATAGATTCAATGCAATCCCAATTGAAATCCCAACAGTATACTTCACAGAGCTAGAAAAAACAATCCAAAAATTCATTTGGAATAAGAAGAGACCTAGAATAGGAAAAGCAATTCTAGACAATAGAGACATGGCAGGGGGTTTCAGAATCCCCAACTTGAAACTACTCTACAAAGCTACTGTGATAAAAACAGCATGGTACTGGCAAAGAAACAGACCCAAGGATCAGCGGAATAGACTAGAAGATACAAAAACAACTCCAGACATACTCAGCTACCTCATCCCTGACAAAGAAGTCAACCGTCCTCACTGGAGGAAAGATAGCCTCTTCAATCAATGGTGTTGGAAAAATTGGATTTCAACTTGCCAAAGATTAAAATCAGACCCCTATCTTTCACCATGCACTAAACTAAAATTGAAGTGGATTGAAGATCTAAATATTAAAACAGAAACACTAAACTTGCTGGAAGATAAGTTAGGTAGAACTCTTGAAGACATTGGCATAGGAAAAAACTTTATGAACAAACCCTCAGTAGCATGGGAACTAGCACAAAGAATCAACAACTGGGATCTCATCTTATTAAAAAGCTTCTGCACTGTGAGAGAAACCACCAACAGAGCTAAGAGACAACCAACAATGTGGGAAAAAAATTTTACCAGCTGTTCCTCAGACAAAAGTCTACTGTCTAGAACATATAAAGAACTCAAAAAAATCAGACCCCCCAAATATAAAGACCCAATTCAAAAATGAGCATCTGAAATGAACAGACATTTCTCAGACAAAGAAGTAAAAGCAGCAAATAAACATATGAAAAAATGTTCAACATCCCTGGTCATTGGAGAGCTGCAGATGAAAACAGCACTGAGATTCTACATCACCCCAGTAAGAATGGCTGCTATCAAGAAATCAACCAATAGAGTGGGGTATTTAGCTCAGTGGTTCCGGCACCTGCCTCGAAAGCTCAAGGTCCCTAGTTTAATCCCCAGTACCAAAAAAACACAAACAAAAAAAAAGAAGACTTAAGAAATCAACCAAAAACAACTGCTGGTGGGGTTGTGGGGAGAAAGGAACCCTTCTTCATTGTTGGTGAGAGTGCAGACTGGTGCAACCACTGTGGAAATCAATATGGAGATACCTCAAACAACTAGGATTGGAAGTCCCATTTCACCCAGCTATCCTTCTGCTGGGTATCTTCCCCCAAAAATTAAAAGAATCATACCACAGTGATATATGCTCACCCATGTTTATAGTGGCACAGTTTGTAATAGCTAAAGCTTGGAAACAGCCCAAGTGCCCATCAACTGTAGACTGGATAAAGAAGATGTGGTTTTTAATAAAATGGAGTACTACTCAGCCATAAAGAATGAGAAACTAGAGTCATTTATAGCTAAGCGGATGCACATTGAGGACATACTCTTAAGTGAAATAAATAGGACACACATGTGTAAATACTAAATAGTTTCTTTAGTGTGAAAAACTAAAAGTGTAAATAAGGATCAAAATATATAATTGATATTGTGAAATAGGAAGAAAAGGTCTAAAGGAGTAGGGAAAGTGGGAGGGGTAGGGGAAAGTAAAGAAAGGAAAAGAAAAAATATGAGAAAAGGAAAAAATGGAAACAAAGTTTTTGTAAATTAGGAACGGTGGAGGGGATGAAGGGAGGGCAGGCAAATGGGGAAAAAATAAGAACCAAGATACATTATGCACAGGTACAAGATCCCAATGATGAACATAATTGTACTGTATGCCTAAAATGTAGCAATAAACTAAATGGAAAAAAAATAAAAATAAAGACACTGTCCCTGTGCCCTTCTCCCCACCCCAACTCCCCACCCACTCACCAGAGCAGCACACACCTGCATCCTCCTTGTGTGCACAGTCACCATGTCCCCAAGTCTCAGCCAAGCAGCCTAACAGTGATGCCTCACTGCCACGGCACCCCACTTCATCCAGCCACACAGGCCCTGATCCAGGACCAAACGCAGCCCCCTGCACTGCATCCACGGCCTGGCCACAGCCCAGCTGTCGGCACACAACCTCGGTGTCGGCCAGGTCCCAGGAGTCATCACACACAGCGCCCCATGAGCCCGCATGACAGACCTCCACACGCCCTGAGCAGCCATCCTCGCCCCCTCGAACACGCAGTACACCTTCCTCTGAAAAAGGAGACGATGGTCATCTCTGGAGACTCAGTGGGATGGGCAGGTGAACCTGGACATGGAAAGGATACCTGGGCAGCTGAGCACAGATGAGCAGTTGAGAGTCTGCTCATGGTCCTCAGGAATCTCTGCCTTCTCTGTGTGGGAAATTAGGAAACATCTCAGGATTTGCAAGCTCAGCAGCTTCACACTCTGTGGAAATTTGTTTTCCTTCCCTTTTCCTTTGTATCTCCATACCAGTTTCTGTTCTTGAAAGGAACAGAACTGTTTGTGTTCAAGGGAGGGTAGCCACACAAGCTGAGGGGTTCCACACACCAGTCCCCTGTGTATGTCCTTAGAAGATGCCAAGGAGTCCAGTAGTCCTGCTTCCCTCACTGGGGGAGAACCAAAGGTCTGAGACGACCCTAGATGGTCCATAGCCAACTCAGGAGCTGCACAGCAGTGACCGCCCTTCACACAAGCACACAAGCACATCGCCTCCTACTCACCTGCACACAGGAGCCAGGCCTCTTCCACGCTGGAGCAGGAATGCTGGTCCCAGGGGGCTGAAGGGCACTGCCACAGGGACCTGTCATGCCTGGGCCTGCACTGAATAGAAGCCAGCCAGAAAGCCCCAGGGGAAGGCCAGCTCCCTGCCCTGGCCAGCAGCTGCCCTTGGGGCCCACAGCCCAGCTGCCCACACAGGATCCCCAGGGAGGAAGTGCTCGGGGCGTGGCAGACTCCACCCCAAGTCCGTTGTAAAAAACTTCCAGCCGCCCTGTGCATGGCTGACCATAATTCTGCAGCCTGAGATGCGTGAACTCTGCAAACAGAGAGGCCAGTTAGCAAGGAGGAGATGGGAGGATGGGGACATGCAAGACACACTGGACCCTGCACCGACCTGAGCAGAAGACCCCGGCGTCCTCCTTGTGCCCACAGTCGTGCCGGCCCCAGCCCTGCGAAGGGCGCTGCCACAGCACAGACCCATTGCCCAGGCAGCCCAGCTCATCCATCCAGACGGGCCCTGATCCCCTCCCGAAATGGGCGGCAACCTGAGCGTTGAGGGCGCGGCCACAGCCCAGCTGCTCACAGACCACGTGGGCATCCTCCAGGTCCTAGGCGGCGGCGTCACACACCGTGCCCCAGGTGCCTCCCTGCAGCACCTCCACACACCCTGCACAGCGGCCAGGGCCCCCAGCCAGCCGCACCTGGAGGCTCCCTGCGAAGAGGCTGAGTAAGGACACGAGAGGCCACATCAGGGGAAGGGAGAGCAGGGGCCCACACTCGCTAGAGCACACGACACCCACGTCCAATGAGGACCCCGCGGCCACCAGCACAGACACAGACACATGGCACTGGGTCAGGCGGGTCTCTGAGCCCGCGCAGCGCACATGGCTCAGCCTTACAGGGACAGCACCGCTGCCAGGGGTTGGCGCGTCGTAGGCCTGCTCAGCCTCTCCACACCCAAGCTGCCTACACACGACGCTGGCACCACGCAGGTCCCAGGCATCATGCAGGACGCGGCCCCACGCTCCGTCCAAGGAGACCTCCACACGACCATCGCAGCTACTCTGTCTGTCCCTCAACCTAAGGGCTCCGGAGAGACCTGGGAGGCACAACGAGGGATCTTGGATTTTGGTTGAGATTGGGGGTCACAGGGATGGAAAAAGGGAAGGACAATCACTCCCACGCAGCCCCACCCAGTCTCAGGCCCTTCTTATCCATCATCTGGTCTGTTCACTGCTCCCTGACCTTCTTCCACCACAGTCCTAGAGTGGCACCAACCTGAGCAGAGGATGGAGGAAGAGTTTCCGGGGGCACAGGGCTTCGCTCCTAGGGTACTGGATGGGCAATTCCACAAACAGAGTTCAGTCCCCACACAGTGAAACACATCCAGCCAGGTAGGAGCATCCTGGTCCCCAAAGTGACCTCCTCCCAATGTGGCCACTGCGTTCCCACAATTGAGCTGGTGGCACAGGACGGTGGCATCTGCTAAGTCCCAATGGGCTGCACAGAGGGGTGCCCAAATGCCCTACACCTGAAGCTCCACACGGCCCTCACAGGGGCTGCTGCCATTGACCAGCTGGAACCCTGAGGGACAAAAGGAAGCAGTGAGGCTCCAGATGGCCACCACCCAGAGACACTGATGCTCATGTGAGCCTCCTTACAGTGCACACTGGCTCTCAAGAGTCAGGCTAAAGGCAAGAAAACAGGTTTGCAATGTGGTATCAAAAAAATTAGGCTAAGGAATTACAATGTCCATGCCTCCACTAAAGCAGTGATTAAGCTGGCGGAACTGTCAAAATCAACTGTCAGAATACAGAATGTGGGAGGACTCTAATGAGAAAGAAGCTACCTATATTGGCTTTCTGCATAAGTAGAAAGTGAGACCAGGCAGAGTAAGTCAGTGGACACAACACAATTAATCTGCAAAGACTAGGAGAGTAAGCCTTCTCTCTAACCCCACCCCCTCCACATATGGGGTGGGGGGAGGCACATATGCCCCAGATGTAAGCTAATGGCAATGGAAATTTTCTCTTGTTCATAGCTCAAGCAATACCTGTCATAACTGGAGCTTTAAGATATATGTTGAGAAATTAATTCCTGATTTTGATTGTAGGAAAATGGGGAATTATTTGTTGTTTAGAACAACCTCCAAAAGGGCAGAAATATTTGAGCTAGGCCTCAAAATATCAGTAGGAAGAAATAAGAGAAGAAAATGAGAGAGAAAAATCTCAGTGTTGAATGGTATTGGTGGTAGGTAAGTAGAACTTTCAAGAATGAGAAACAGAATGATGGAAAAAGAGGATATCTACAGAACAGCAGTGGGGCTAAAACTAAAAAAACCAAGTGTAGTAGGATCATATATATCTCTAAATACTGCGTTTTTTATTTAGCAGGAAAAGTTTTTTAAATTTAATTTTACTAATATAGTGCAGAAAAATGATAGAGAGATGTTATAGAGACTTGGCAATATTTTAGATAAGAAGTTGTAGGTTCCAGTGAATGTGACCCAAATGTTCTTCAAGCCATACTACAGTAAACCTGTCAAAAGTTCAAGACAAAGAGCACCAAAAATAGCAAAAGTGTCAAATCACATTAAAAAGAAATCCCCAAGACTAACAGTAGGCTTCTCATTGGACACTATTATACAGACCAAGAAAGAAAAGACTATGGGATATTCAAAGTCCTGAAGAAAAAACTGCTAACCAGAATGCTATACCCAGAAAAGCTCTCCTTCAGAAAAGGAGAATTAAAGACTTTGAAACATAAGCAAAACCTGATTAACAGTAGACCAGCCCTGCAAGAGATAGAAGTTAAAAGAATGTTAAAGGCATGCTACACTAGAAGCAAAAGGATGAGAGCACACAAAAGACAAAACTCAAAAAAAAAAAAGTACAAAACTCAACAGTAGAGCAGATTCCCAAAAGAGAAAAAAAATTCATTAAACCTCATCACTTCAGAAAACCACCAAATCACAAAGATGGACAACAAAAGATAAGAAATGAATGTAGCATACACCAAACTAACAGAAGACATTAACAAAATTATGGGAATGTGCATTTGCTTGTCAATAATAACCCTGAATGCAATAACATTATTAAATTCTTCAATTAAAAGATATATATGCTGGATGATTAGATACTAGATGAAAAAATTAAACCCAGCAATATTCTCCCTACAAGAAATTCACTTCACCAGAAACTATACATAGACTGAAACTAAAGGGACAGAAAAAAGATATTTCACACAAACAGAAACCAAAAGTAAGCCGGAGTACCTATATTTACATTGAATAAGACAGGCTTAAATTCAAAGTATAAAAGAGACCAAAATGGTCTATTTTTACACAAAAAGTTATAATAATTGTGCATAAATATATGTACATCCAATACCAGAGTACCCAATTTAATAAAACAAACATTATTAGATCTCAAGAAAGAAACCAGATTCATTACAAAAACAGAGGGAGATGGCAACATCCCACCTTCATCTGTTGACAGATCCTTCAAAGAAAAAAATGACACAGAAACACCAAGCTGTAGTATAGACCAGTGGACCTAACACACATTTACAGAACAGCCTCAGAAGACACAGTCTTCTCTTTGAACATGGAACATATCCCAGGTTATGTTAAGCCACAAAGACTCAAAAAGTGAAAATAATGGCAAGTGTATTTTGTGGCCACAATGGAATATAACTAAAAACCAGCAACACGAGGGACTTGAGAAATTATAAAGATACAGTACATGGACATTTTGAAAGAGATTCCCTTGAACCACCAATGGGTTTGTGAAGAAATCAAGAGGAAACTTTAAAGTTTTCTGAAGCACATGAAAACACAACATTGCAAGTCCTGTGAATGGGTGGAAATGCAGCTCAGTGGTAGGATGTGTGCTGAGCATACACAAGACCCTAGGTTCAATATCCAGAAACACCACCAAACAATTGAAAAATCAAACAAAACAATAAGAAAAAAATGATCCAAAACCCATAGAACACTGCAAAAATACTTAGAGGAAAGGTTACAGCAAAAAGTGCACCCATCAGAAAATGAAAAGAAGCCAGGCATGACTGGTAGGCCTGTGACCCCAGTATCTGGGGAGCCTGAGATAAGAAAATCACAAGTTTAAATCCAGAATGGACAACTTAGTAACTTAATAAGATTCTGTCTCAAAAATAAAAAATAAAAAAGGACTTGGTATGTAGCTCATTGTGAAGGGACTGGGTTCAACTACTACTGCAAAAAAAATTAAAAACAGGAAAAGCCATGCACAGTGTCAGGCACCTATAATCTCAGATACTTGAAGGGCACTGACACGTAAAGATTCCAAGTTTGAAGCCAGCCTGAGCAACTTAGTAAAAACCAGTCTCAAAATAACAATAACAATAATAATGATGTCTGTGGATAAAGCTCAGTGGTAAAGCACTCACCTAGTATGTTGAAGTCCCTAAGTTCAATCCTGAGTACTTCAAAAATAAAAAGATTTGAAACTAACAACCTAACAATGTAACTCAAGGAACTAAGAAATGCAATACCATATATTTGGCCACAAATTAAGTCTCAACAAGTTCCAAAAACTGAAAATTGTGTTATGTGTTTTCTCTGACTGCAATGAAATAAAACTAGAAATCAACAACACATGAAAAGTTAGAAACTTTCCAGATATATGGAAATTTTTTAATTCTCTTAAACTGACCCATATGTCCATGAAGAAATCAAGAAGGAAATTTAAAATTTTCTTGAAATAAAGGAAACCTGTTTTTTTAAGCATGAGGTAAAATGGAGAATGCAAACACCTCTGATAATAACAGCAGACTAGTGGTCTTAATTGCAGGAGAAATTCACAGTTCTTACAACTTTAAATCTATTTCAAGGTTTTTGTTCAAAAGTGACTCTTCCTGCTCAAGAAACTAGATTTAGGACTGGGGATTTAGCTCAGTGGTTCCACCACCTGCCCTGCAAGTTCAAGGGCCC